AAGTGGTTATCCATTAGAGTCTTGTGGAAGACTTAGTTTCGGGGCTTCTGAACCCAGATATGGAGAATCCTAAGATAGTGAAAATACCTACTCAAGAGAAACCATTTACCTCAGGATTTACAGGACCAAGTGGCTAGCTGAAAATCCAGAGCTCTGAGGGAGAAGAGCAGTAGTGGATGGAGTGGAAGTCTAAGTCAGAATAGATCTGAGGTGATAATAAAAGCTAAAAGTAAAGAAAAGCTAAGCATAAAGTTGTTCTTGTGTCTGGAGACAAGAACTTCCCAGACAGGAAAATATTGTGACAAGGGTAGAGGTGGGGATGACTCATCATTTTGACAAGTTATCCCGCTTCATGAGTTGTCAAAAGCTGACAACTCACAAAGCACGAAGTTGTGCCCAAGAAGCGACAAATAACAAAGTTGTTCAGCGATTTGTGGGGGGGTTATTTAAAAAAAACATGCCTACCCCCCTTCCAGGCGGTCCTTTGCAAAGATGGCAGCTGTATCTTCCCTAACCTAAATAAAGCCTCAGCTGCCATCTTTGCAAAGAGCAGACAGTCTTCCTTTTTACATGCCGTGGCTGAGAGGCCAGATAAAGACCTTGACTGTGGCAATTAAGGGGGTGTTTGTGGGGAAGGGGGTGAGAGGCTAAGATAGGGAGAGGAAGGGGGTGGGGTGGCTGCCTATTGGCCACAGATCAGCTGAAAGGTGGCCAGTACGCAGAATGGGAAAGGGAGAGGGGTGGGGTGGCTGCCTATTGGCCACAGATCAGCTGAAAGGTGGCCAGTACGCAGAATGGGGTTCTTTTTGGTAATACAGTGGTGCCTCGCTTTACGATTGCCCCATTTAACAACGAAACCGCATTATGATGAACTTTTTGTGATCGCTTTTGTGATAGCAAAACCTTTCCTACGGGGGAATTTCGCTTTGCGATGATCGGTTCCCTGCTTCAGGAACTGATTCTTCGCAAAATGACGATTTTCCAACAGCTGATCAGCGGTTTCAATATGGCCACCGGGTAAACAAAATGGCCCCACGCTGTTTTCTGGGACGGATTCCTTGCTACACAGGCAGCGAAAATGGCTGCCCTATGGAGGATCTTCGCTGGATGGTGAGTTTACAGCCCTTTGGAACACATTAAATGGGTTTTAATGCATTTCAATGGTTTTTTTCTTTTCACATTACGATGTTTTCATTCTGCAGCGATTTCGCTGGAATGAATTAACGTCGTAATGCAAGGCACCACTGTACGAAGGACGAATAAAAATAGGTAACTATCCATCCATATTCGTGGGGGGCTCTGTAACCCATGAATATAAAGGGACGAATATTTAACAAATATTTTTGTAGAAAAAGCGGATCCATTTTAATATTCGTCCCCATCTCTAGTTGTGAGCTTGGGAGCAGCTGCGGCGAGATGCTTGGAAAAGCGCAACCTAGTTATAAGGAAAGCCACTGAAAGAAAGGTCCATTTTGCTCTGGTGAAGGAAAAGCAACAGCCCAGTTTAATAAGAAATTGTATTATTTATGCCCCCCAAGTGAAGTAAAAAGTTGGTTATGGGGGCACAGGTTGAGATCCAAAGTGCTGAGGGAAATGAGAACCCTCAAATTCAAAGTGAAGAAGAAACTGAAGGCTCAGTAATAATTGCTGGTGGAGAAAATATCCAAAGCTTCCTCTTCAGAGATCCCTCTTGAACAAGCTAGAGATTTTGAGACTTATAGAAAGATGGTATACTCCAGATTTGCGATTAATTCAGAGCACCTCAGAAGAAAATTTTGATCAATTACAAAGAAACCTGAGGAGTCTTTTGCACAACTTGGGGCAAGGTTGACTCAGTTTGGTTAAAGCAGAAACATATCACTTCCTTGGAACAAATGAAAAATGTGGTTGGATTGGAACAATTTTATTCAATTTTGCCAGGGGAATTGCATTATCTTGTCAAGGACAAGGATCCTAAAAATGTGCAACAAGTTTCTGAATATGCTGATTCTCTTATTGGGATCAAAGAGCCTCAATTTTCTGAGGTAAAAAATTGGTAGAAAAAGTGTGGGAGGACAGTAAGAAATCTCAATCTTGGTAAAAAATTACTTCAGCCAGGTTCAAGCTGAAGGAAGCCATTTTAAAGTGAAACCCTCATTCCCAGAGCATAGTCCCCAGAAATCAGGTAGTTCTGAAGGAAAAAGTAATAAATTCCTTTATTCTTAACACAGGGCCAGTAAGAAATGTTTTTCCTGTGAAGAAGAGGGACATTTTTGCACTCAGTGTGAAAATCCTAAAAACCGAAATTTCAGTCAGCCTAAAAAAGTATTTATCCTTCAGCCTTCAGCAGCTGAAGCTACCAGCAGCAACACTGTTGCTAAGGGAACGGACTTGGCAGAGACCCCAGAACTTCCTGAGGCTAAAGTGTTACAGTGTTTTTTTTAAAATCAAGAGAGATTGAGAATTACGTACTAGAAAGCTCTGGGGAAACTATTTTTATTGACAACATAATGTATTTAGGTTTGAGAGATACATGTTCCCAGATAACTACACTCAGACATCATTCCTAAAGAGAATATGTTGGAACAGAACATCGGCCTCCAAGGCATCAGTTCGAACTCTGTAGTTCTGCCCCTGGCTAGAGTGGCAGTGAAGTACCATGCGTAGCCTGGGATATGGAAAGTAGCAGTGTTAGATCAAATCCCAGCTCCTTGTCTGATTGGTTTAGATTTATCTCAGCATATGCAGAGTGTTTTAATGGTAACCCACTCTCAGGGGAGGCAGATTGAAGTCACTGAGGAAAGCGCTGAAACTAGCAATGAAAGACCCATTTTAGGGAAACAACCTGAAATGAGGGAGACAGCTAATTTAGTGCTGTTGAGAAATCCTAAGAGCCTTTATTAAGGAACAGAAAGAAGATCGCTCCTTAACTGAATGCTTCGAATCCCATTCCACTTACCCATGAACATCCAGAGAGGTATTGTGTGGAAAAAGATTTGTTGTACAGAGAGAATGACTCCTCATAGGAGAGGAGAAGGTCCCCGTCAAAGCTGTGAGACTTGCCAAAAATGAGGTATTCCCATTGCCAGTGATCTTGACCCCTTTCCAATGTTTATATCTGGATCTAGTGGGACCTTTACCCAGAGCGACTAGACAAGGAATAGATTCGTACTATCTATTATAGATTAGGTCACTAGATACCCTGTAGCAGTACTCCTAAGAAATGTAGAGACCAAAACTGTGGCAGATGCCTTAGTAAACTACATGTGCCAAATGGCTTTTGCATCAGAAATAATGACAAAACTTAAGGCATGCTGCATGTGTAAATGCAACGGATCTGTGGCAGTTCACTCCTCTGCATGAAGGTGCTTCTAAGAATAGAGTGGAAGTGTGTTCTCTCTTGCTAAGCTATGGTGCTGATCCTACACTATTGAATTGCCACAATAAAAGTACAATTGAGCTCCAACACCTCAGTTAAAAGAGCAATTGACATATGGCTTCGAAGTCACTCATTGGTACAGGCTGCAAGGGAATCAGATGTTGCTCATGTGAGATTTGTAAACTCTCTTGAGAGTGTAAACATCAAGCATCCCCCAACTCATGAAACTGCTTTGCATTGTGCTGCTACATCTCCATATCCCAAAAGGAAGCAAGTCTGCGAACTGCTTCTAAGAAAAGGAACCAGCATTAAGGAAAAAAAAAAGATTTCCTAACACCTCTCTATGTGGCATTAGAAAAAGCACACAATGATGCTTTTGAAATAGTTATGAAACATGAAGCAAAGATCAGTGCTTTGGATAACCTTAGTCAGACATCTCTGCACAGAGCAGCACATTGTGGCCATCTGCAGACTTGCTGGTTGTTGTTGAACTCTGGCTGTGATGCATCAATTGTATCACTGCAGGGTTTCACCAACTCTTAGATGGGAAATAAAAGTACTGTATCCAGCAATTATTACAAGAAAGTGTCCCTTTAGGCAATTCAGAAGAAGGTCGACAGCTAGTGGAAGCTGCAAAGGCAGGACATATGGACATGGTTAAAAAGTTATGTACCGTTCAGAATGTGGATTGTCGGGATATTGAAGGCCATCAGTCCACACCACTTCACTTTGCTGCAGGATACAATAGAGTGTCTGCAGTTGAATACCTTCTGCAACACGGTGCTGATGTTCATACAAAAGACAAAGATGGTCTTGTTCCTTTGCAGAATACTTGTTCTTATGGACACTATGAAGTGGCTGAACTACTTGGTAAACATGGTGCAATTGTCAATGTAGCTGATTTGTGGAAGTTTACTCCTTTACATAAAGCTGCCCTGTTGACAAACTTAACCTGAAAAAAGCAAGCTGAAAACATCCACTGGACGTTAAAGTGCCAGGTAGCCTTCGATTGTCTGAGGAGAGCGCTGGCTTCGAAACCAGTCCTTGTTGCATCAGACTTTGACCGTGAGTTCCTCATCTACACGGATGCATCAAATGTGGGACTGGGAGCCGTGTTGAGCCAACCCAACAACAGTGAAAATCTGCACCCGGTGATGTACATCAGCAAGAAACTTAGTGTCAGGTGAGAAACACTTGTCCACAATAGAAAGATAGTGTCTAGCTATTGTATGGACGCTGCAAAATCTGAAGCCATACATTTTTAGGAGAAGATTTGTCTTGTGCACCAACCTGATTAAGGGGGTATAGTACCATCCTTAGAGCAGATCCAGCTCTGTCCCTCAACATAAGTACAAAGATGAGTAGCTCAGCATCTACACCCTCAGTTGGCTTTCTTACTCTGTAGTGGTAGACCTGATCCTGGCTGGAGGAGAGGGTAGTAATGACAAAGCTAGAGAGCACAGGAAGGGCTAAGCATCCTCATGCTTCTTCTATGCTCCACATCTCTCCATCTTGTTATTTTATACTAAAGCATTTCTCCTGTATGGACCTGAAAATCTACCCTTTGGACCCTCTGGCTTACCCCAAGACTCTGAAATAAAAAATGGCATGTTTGGGTGCAGAACTATTGGGTAATACGTACGGGTGGCCACCTTGACACTGACAGGGACACTGATCACATCACTGATGACTGCAAAGACGCTGAGGTTGTATGGCAGGCCTGGCTCCAGCTCCTTGATACTGACACTGCTCCAGTCCCCAGGAACTCGTTGCTGGAGCTGCAGGCCTCCAGGCACTGCTGGCTGGTAGGAAATCACATATTCAGTCACAGCCATTGGCCCCTCCCATTCGAGGTCAATTGACCTGTCACTGATGGCGGTCACTCGCAGACTGCTGGGTGAAGCAACTAGAAGAAGATACAAGATTCAAAGTATGAGATAGGGCGGCTCCTCATTCTCTCCAAGCAGCAATGCACCCTTGAATTATGCATGTGGTTGTCCCTTCTTAGCCTACTGCAATGGGAAGACATACGTAATAGGGAACAGGCTGTATTGGCTGTTGCTTGCAAGTAAAGATTAGGTTGCACAGGATATTTCATGAAGTATTACTATAACAGATCTGGCTTTGCCTCCACTTATTTGGCAGAACAAGCCAATCACTGTTCTCAACTAATGTACCTCTATATGACATTTGTGTTTTTAAGCATGATTGTTGTGTTTCACTGGACTACAAGAAACTTATTTCCAGTTTCAAATTACCTTTGGCTGCTTTAGGAATTATGCTGTTGCTTTTATGATGCGAACATTCAGAATTTTTGCAGCCCAAATTCTACATGAATTGCAATAATACATACAGTACGAATCACTCCGATACTACTGCATACTGATTCCCTATTTTATAAATGGAAGATTATCAATACCATGACAAGGAAAGTAGAACCTTAGAAGCTATGTAAGAAACATTTTCATGTTCAGTGCTCTTAAGTATAGCAGAATCTTATCTGAGGAAAAATCAAAGAGAATTCTGGAATAGCCATTCCATGAGAATTGGATTGGATGGGATACAGAATGATATTTGTGGGATTTGACATGTTAATTTATTTAAGCCACTGCAGCAATAATTATCCATGATGATGGCCCACAAGATCTGCAGTCCTACAATGAACAGAGCAAGGTCAATTGGAACTGCTAAATGTCAACTTGAGCGCAAGTTTCTCAGATCTTTTTCTCAGAAAATTTGTGATAATTTTATTTCACTTGCTGGCTTTAAAAAGACACTTTGCAGATTTTTCTTTGAATTTCTTTGAATGCCCAATGATCCTTTAGGGGACTGTGAGCATCACAAATCCCAACCTCCTCCTCCTCGTCCTTCTTTCTTTTCTGGTGTTGGACGCCATTTTTTCTCCCACAATACCATGGACATATGCTAGACCCAAGTCATTGTGGAAGGTGCAAAATGGTGGCAGTGGTAGCAAAAAGAAATCTGTAGGGTTAAACTGGATTTAAGGAGGAGACAAGGAAGTCTGTGAGTTTTTTTCTTTTTAGAAAACCTTTGGCACAACAAGGATTATCTCTAACAAGCAGAAGGTGTTTGGGATTTTAAGATCTTGCATGTGCAGCCTACTGAAAATAAGAAGCTGGGGGACCGTGTCTCTCTTGATTCTACCTTACGTGTGTAGGAAGACAAATATCAAATATCAGTACTGAACACCACAGCTTTTTAATTAGGCAAAGCAAATTACTCCTTTTGCACTAACAGCTAAATTTATAGCCATGCTACTGAGCTAGCTCACAGTGTGGCCTCTTATACTGTATCTTTATTCCCTCTTGAAATGACACATTGGCCCAGTGTTACTTCATAAGAACAAATGAACATCCAGAATTGTCTACTCCAACATGGGCCTAAACACAACAACAATCTTCCTTCACCCTCAAGAGTTCTCTCTGTGCTTTCCCTGTGCTTCTAATGCTACTTCTGGAGTGAATACAATAATATCACATAACTATAGATGTACAGAAAACTAGTATTATCACTAGAGATGGGGGTATTCGTATATAAATATCCCCGCACAGGTGGAGATAATGAGGGTCCGGCCCCATGGGGCCAGATGGTCCACTCACCAATGAGAGACAAGCCTCCCTGCCAGGTCAAAGAGTGGCTTGGTGATCGCAATCTCCGGAGCGATAGGACGGCAGTGCAGACCCGCAGAATTAGTGCATCAGTGAGTGGACCACCCAGCCCCATAGGGCCAGATCCTCATTATCTCTACTTGTGCGAGGGTATTTGTATATGAATATGAATACTCCTATCTCTAATTATCACCAGTATCTGACAAACTTGTTCACTCTTTCACCCCAGCCCCAAAATAAGTAGCAGTTCTATTCTTTAAATCTTTCTTTGCCATTAAGAGATCTGACTTAACGCAATTCTACTCATTTCTATTCAGATGTGAAGCCTATTAGTGCAACAAAGGGCCTGTCCAGAAAAGGGAGTGGTCTGGTTCATGCTTAAAAAGTTCTTATTTTCAGTTTATTTATTTATTTATTTATTTATTTATTTATTTATTTATTTATTTATTTACCGCCTATCTAGTCGCGGTGGACTATTTTATCTCTCACTTGAGCTATCCCCCTGTTCACACTGAAAATGGGCCACATAAGTATTTGAATTGCTGGTTTACTGAACCTGCCCGGACAGGTTCTTACTCTCAAAAATGCCTCATTGTCTTTTGATAAACTTCATGGCCATTGGTTTAGTTAAAGTATCCTTGTATTTGCTTAAATGAGCATTTTTAAGGTAAGCACAGAAGGGTCCAGCCCTCTGGGGTTGGACCATCCACTCACACATCCGCTGCCAGCCCTGGCCCTGCTCTTCCTTCCAATTGCTCTGGAGTGCCCAGTTCGTTAGCCATTCCTGGCAGAAGGAGGGAAGACAAGTCTCCGTGCAAGGCTGACAAATACCTCCCTCTCTAATTATAACCTTTCTAAAGAATGATTATGAACATTCCAAGTACTCTGAGTTTACAAGAGGGGTAGGCAAAGTGTGCCCTGAGAGATGTTGCAGACCAGTGGTCCCCAACCTTGGGCCTCCAGATGTTCTTGGACTTCAACTCCCAGAAATCCTGGCCTGCAGAGGTGATGGTGAAGGCTTCTGGGAGTTGTAGTCCAAGAACATCTGGAGGCCCAAGGTTGGGGACCATTGTTGTAGACTACAACTCCCATCAGCTGCAAGTAGCTTTGACAGTGTGGAGGAATGCAAGGAGTTGCAGCCCCATGATCGCTAGAGGGCCTCACATTTCCAGCTCCTGCTTTTCAGCTGAAAACCTGGAGGCAGATGGGCTCCTGAGGACACAGCAGAGCAAGGAAGGAGTAGTGTTTGACAGGTACCTGATGTGAACAGTAAGTGAAATTGTAAAAAAATAAAGAACAAATGGTTTGGTTCATTCAGGGTACATCTGCGCATGTGCCCTCGCCGCCATCTACTGGAGGACTGCCACGAACACGGAAATTTACCTGTATAGAAAAACCCTGCTTTGGCCCCCTGCTTGACCGCCAATAAAATAGCCGCAAGGGGTTTTATGACCTTATTTGGTGAAATTCCAAGACTGTGAGCTCATTACGAGACAGCCCTTTATAATCTTGTGTATTATCCTGTTTTCGGCAGAGACCCTGGTTTGTTTCTTACTGGGGATCTCTCCAATTCTGCAGAATTGTAAATAAACTCTTCCGAACGGAGCATATTTGCCTTTTGGCTGGGGATTGTTAGGGGTTATAGGGAGTATTTCCCCTACAGCCGGTTAACAAAATGAGGGCATGGCCAGTGTGTGATTTACCTGGGTTGTGTGAATGGGAATATGATAATTTTAATGTGCAACACATACTGTATTGGTTTTTTTTTACTTTACAATTTGTTTCCTTTACAAATTCCCACAGATCTTGACTTGTGCAGTAGTCTTAAGGTGCTGCAAGTCTTGCTGATCTCTTGTTGGTTCACAGAGCTGTTGCAATCTGCCATGAGAACTGTGGAGGAAGTTTTTAAAAATGGCTAAGGGCCTAATAAAACAATTATTTTCTAACTTTTTTGCAGTTGCATTTAAATAGCAATTTCTCAACAGTGTTCAAAATGCCTCTCACATGCTACTCTAATAATCCTTACAATAACCTTGGAAAAACAGACAGATGATTGTCCCTCATTGCTGATTAGGGAATGAGCCTTTGCAAAAGCCATTTAGTAACTGCAAAGTTAAAACATTAACATAGGTAATTCAGCAGCTTGGAGATTTTCTGACTGTTACTCTTAGCCTGCAGACCTGTCCACCTTTTAACTGGAAATATGATCCACTAAATTCAGTGAGAAGTCACCATGGGGTGGTGCATAGGATCATTACACACAGGATGACACTGGAAGAGCCTGCAAAAATTAAAATGGGCAAGGAGAAGCATTTCTCACTCAACAGCAGGATTACATTTGCGGGCTCTGTCCAGGACTCATATTCGAAGTGACACAATTGCCTCAATATAAAGGTAGCAATAGACTAGGACGTTTAACTTGCTCTTATGCTCTCAATAACAAACAAGGCAGAAATGAAATGGTACAGTTTTTCGTGACATGGAGGCAAGTGTTATTTTCAGGTGTCTTGAGTGCTGTTGCAGGGACCAATTGAAAACCAAGTAGTACTCCAGCCATATGCCTCACAGAGGCCTAGTTCTTTTTGAGGTTGGAAGCCCAAATCTGTGCTATACCACCTCAAAGGCAAGCGGGAACCTAGGTCACACAATGGAATGTCCCTTCTTTTCCATGCCATCTCACCCAACATTTTTTCTAGACTACAACAGGATTTTTGAAATAAGAGAATGTGCTTGTATGAAATACATTGTCATCTGAGTCCTCACCTTCACTCTGAAGTGGTACACCCAAAAATAGGTCTATCTCTTCACTAAGAGTACTAGGCTGTAGTAACAAGCCATATCTTTGAAAAGGATATGTAAAATTAGATTTTATCACAAGGAGGGCTCAGATTATATTTTTAGGAGAATCCTGCTCATTATAAGGAGCCTGCCTACCCCTCAACCGGGCCAGTATGGCCAATGTATGGATGAAATTGCTGAAATCAGACAATGCATGTTGTCAACTGGAAACATGACATGGGTAGGACTGGGGTGGGAGACGTATGTATTCTGATTCGTCCCTATGATGGCACACTTTGTCAAAATTCAACAGGGGAGGCAAAAGTAGCTAGGAAGAAGAAAACGGGAAGCTCTTTCTGGCCAATTCTTCATTCCTTGCATTCTTTAAGAGGTGGGCATTTCACTTAGTAAAGTGATGAAATCGCTTTGAGTTAGGCCAGAGTGCCTTCCCACTTTACTGATTATCATCCCTCATCTCACACAAGCCTGTTATTTAAAG